AAAATGCCAAACTCTTTATGCTCACCTATTTTCCCACATTTTACTTTAAACCTTTATCCATCAGCAAAGTTATTTGTTTCTTGGCTGACAGCAAACCCGCGTGCTGACACACAATACTCGAGCTGCAGTAAATCACTCAAACAGCCAAAGAGTGTGTATGAGGCCATGATAATAAGGTGAAATTTACTGCCCCTGCCTGTCAGGTGGTTGCAAATAATAGTCCTGCTTGGCAGGTACCATTATTGAAGCCTTGTCGGTCCACCCTTTTTCTGACAAGATGTTACTTGAAGTTTGTGTGTTTTCCCGAGGCTCCAGTCACAGAGGCTTAATAGCAAGCTCCCCGAGGAGCTCTGAGCTCTGGAGGAGCCCTGCGTCTTAATCAGGAGCTGCCACTTAAAGAGATTTCCATCATACCTGAACACTATGGGTGGCTACCCAGTGGAAATAGACTAAGAAATGGAAAACACACCTAATACAGATGTCTTGTCATTTGTCCTGGTGATGATGATACTTGAGGAGAAAAAGAGACAGAGAGAGGGATAGGAAGCCAGTGTGAGCCGGTAGATGACATGCTTTCAAGCAGGTAATTGCTATTTGTCTCTGTGTTCTGTACTGTGTGATTACATGCTCTCTGTTGTTCCATTGTTAAAACGCTGCTGTGAGAAAAAGTGATTTGGACAAGGTACGGCTTGTTGAGCATATGAGTAAGTGCATACCACAGAGCATGTACATTACAGCGCCGGTGGTGGCAGATTTCACTACGATTAGTTATGAGGTAAAGAAAAGTGGATCGTTTTTAACGGGCCAGAACAGTTCCAGTCCAATATCATACAGAAACAATAAGTTAAGCAGTTCTGTAATAAAGGCAAACATGCTCTTTTTGCTTTGGTCTCCCTTCAATTTCAGCCTTTAAACACAAATGTGCAAAATTTATAGTTTTTATTAAGACTGTGGGGTCAGATGAATTTATTATGTCAGACTTTCACAAACCAACAACCCAACAGGCGCTGATTGGTCAAGTGTGCGGAGGTAAAAAGTGAAAAGATTAAACTGAACAGAAATATACTTGTTCTGCCTGTTAAAGGATTTAAAGGAAACCCTGTTTAATTAAGAGGACCCAGAACTCAAAAAGAGCCATTCAACCAATCTGATAAATCTCGAACAAGAATGAATGTCTCGATCTGGACTGTCTGAGCAAATAAAGATTCTGAAAATGATCAGTTTTCTTTACCAAAAGATGCTGCCCATTTCTGTGTTCCCGGGGAGGTCACATAGAGTCAGCTCCCCTTCTGACTCCCTGCCCTTTTAGCTGCCCAACATGTTAGTGTTTGCCTCTCTGGCATTTTCCCTACTGGCTCAGGGTGGGATGAATTATGATGCACCACACTCCCTTCTGTACTTCTGGGCAGCCAAGGCGATCAAGATAAATCACCACGCTGCCCCACAGGGGATGTGGTGAGATCCTGCCTTGGATGTTTTTGGGGCTCTGATCAGGATGCTGAGGATTTGGAGCTGATGTGATACTGCACTCCCTGAGAAGCATGCACTGTGCACACAAAGGAAGGGCCTTGTGGAACTATGTCAGACGATTGAATAATAAACTAAAAGGAGATGGGATTTTACAGTGGGTAATTATCCATTATTCGGCTCCGCTACTGTCACATACCATTTAGTCTTTCCGAGTGTAAGAAAATTACACTGAAACCATGCGATAAACCGTGCAAATTTCAGCCTATTGATTCGCAGCATCCCGCTCTTTTGATTGATGGCTCTCTTGTCTTTTCAGCCGCACATTCCTGGCTGCAACTCAGGGGAGCCTCCGAATTCAAACATGAGCCGTGACAATGAGTAGGTCCTGGAGCCAACAAGAAACAACACAAGATACCAACATGTCTGTCAAAACCACCGAAAACTAATCGACGGAGTCGAAAATCCAAAGTCCACCCTACCCCGCCTCGCTCCATGTTACCCAAACCAAAACAATGAAGGGCAAAAAAACCCAACAGCAGCCCAAATGGCTCAAGCGTAAACTGTATTTAATCAACACATTCCGAGCTGCGGGCCGTTAGCAGGCTGATTGCCTGGTGAGCAGCACCACATCTGTTTGTGTACAGGGGCGGTGTAGGCCACAGCTCTGCCACACGAAAACCTTGGGCATATTTCAATTTTTCAGTGCTGCAATTTGCCCCCAACTGCTTCCCAAAAAGCATAAATACAGGCTGTGGAATGAGCGGGGGATCTGTTTTTCTCATCCACGGCGTTGTCATTGAGGTTCTGGGAACGGAAGGCTGGATTTCAGATGCTAATTACTCGGTCAAACGTACTGGCACGGTGGCTGGCTCTCCTGGCTTGTGGGTTTGCACAGAAGATGCACATATGCAGCAAACAGCACACAAGTACTGTATCAAAGTCCAAGTTCTACTGTCCTTCCACCAGAAGCTCTTCTTAATGTGTTTCAGAGCCAGCTCGGATATGGCACGAGGACCACAGTGTGACAGTTGCTACTTTTAAATTTTTGAACCAAGCCTTTAGAAATTTGCTGAAAAATGCACATGACATTGAAAACCTGCATAATTCATAGAAAGTTGATACATACTTGGCCTAGATACTGTTTTAGAACAGTCTTTTGTTCTCCGGAGATTCAAGCAAAGGATCACTTGTGTGATTCCAATGTAGCCAATATAGATCACAATACCAGCTTGCACAAATATCCTAAGTGACTGCAGCAAGGAGCAGGCAGTGTAACTACAGAATCAGAGGATGGAAGAAGTACTGCAGGAACTACATGATGGCAGCTTTTATAGAAAGGCCTTCAGACCTCATTATGTTATATGCAAACAGTAATGAAGGATCCATCAAAAAGGATGTGCAACGCTGACACTCGGGAACCATCGTGACCGACGAAGTTCCACCACCAGGTGCCCTGCGCCGACGGCCTGCTCCATTTCTCCAGTACGACACGCGGTAATTAGGTGAATTTGGTGCGGGCCGGGGCAAAGACAGCTAGATCAAGGCCTTGATGAATTAGTGGGAGCAGTCTGTCAGAGTCACATCACATTAATCACAACAAACCGGGTGCAGAGCCACACTCTTGCCCCCCCCTCCTTTCTCTCGCTTTGCTGGTGATGAATAGCTCTGCCTGCACTGTGTATCACCTGATCTGGCTGAATTTAAATGTAACAGCACAATTCCCACTAAACCTCTATTGATCTTACTCCTGGGCTCCCTTCTAGGGTTCGAATATTTTAGATAAGGATATGAAGGCGTGGTATGTTAATGTTAAGCGGGCCAGAGTTTTATGGTACGCTACACTCATAAGTCACAAAATAAATGAATCTTTGTTTTTAGGTCAGGTTAGAATACATGTGGTAAAAGTGAGGAAAAAAAAACTTCCACCCTGTTATAACAAACCATTCAATCAGTCAGTGCTCTTAGTTTCATTTAAAGGATACAAAAAAGATGTTGCAGAAACACTTTCTTTCAATGTTTGAACCACTTTCTCGGTAGAGCTCACATTTATGTGATGCCAGCACCAGAAAGCTTCCTAAGTCCTAAACCATGGTCCACAAGGGCAGATTGGGGCAACCGTGGCTCAGGGGCTTGGGAAGCGTATCTGTAATTGGAAGGTCGCCGGTTCGATCCCCGGGCTCTCTGTCCTGGTCGTTGTGTCCTTGGGCAAGCACTTTACCCTACCGCCTATCATTATTATTATTATTATACAGAATGACACATTCACAGTTTTGAAAGCCATCTAGTAGACTGGATGAGATTCTTTGATGGGGTGATTCTCTTGACCGTGTCTGCAGTGGCAGCTGGCTTTACTTTCAAATTGCTCATGACGTCCCACGTGTTACGCATACATAACACCAAGATACCTATGGTATATTTTTTATTGCCACAGCTAGAGTGCTGGATGGAGTGGTGGTGAGATAAAC